AAGTTTTTGCATTTCTTGCTGGTATTTCTGCTCCCAAATATGATGACAGAAGCAGTACATGCTCAAGGTATAGCGCATCAGGATTTATTTGCTGAAGACTTACCTAAAGGAACAACAGATTTGACACTTAACCAGAACAACAACTCATTCTCTAAACTGCTGTGAAGTCTTACCAGTTTCATCTCAAAGAAACAGAGTAATGTCTGAAACAGCACCACACTAAAAGCATGTTAAAAAGATTTTTAACATTATCTAACTTAAGAGTTTCCTGATACAAGCCACAGTTACATATTTAGCCTGATGGACTCAAGAACCTTTATTAAATGCAATTAATTTAACAAAGAAAGTGAGTGTGTACTTTGTAGCTCTGTCTGTTGTTGCAAGGTTTAGACTAACGCAGATTACTCAAGGATTATATAGACCTTCCTAGCTTATCCTACAGAGTCTAACATATGCACAAAATGTCTTAAGTGACATACTCAGATAAGAAGGATGTAGCTGCACCCTAAATACCCCAAAATGTTATCAAGTCCCATCAGACCGCATGACTACTTGCCTTTGAAACCCGGGTGACAGTCTAATAAAATTGTCTGTCTTCCCTGAACCTGACAAGTCACTGGTTTTAATAGATGCTGAGATAGTTCATTCTGTTACAGAGGCTGCTTCTCTCGCTGCCCAGGTCCATGGCCCCCTCTTGCTCTCTGCTGTTTTGAATGGAAGGCAGCAAACAAGTCTTCAAAGAGGACATTATGCTGTGATTTCCAATCAACTCAGATAACTCTCTTAATGCATTTAATCAGTGTTCCCACCAGGACAAGTCTGTATGAAGTTTGTAGGATGCAGAAGAAGCTATTCAGCAATATCAATAGACAGCAATATAAGCAAACAGCAAAAAGCATCATCCACAGGCCACTGCTTTGCCAAACTATAAAGCACGGAGGGAGTGCTACCACAGTGGGACCTGCAGCCTAGAAGGACTGAGAAAAGATCCTACGAGAGCACCACGACACAAAGATGAGTTTGACTGAGAGCAGTTGTCTAAACATAGAGGATGCCCATTTAATTCCTGATTACTCATTTTGTGTTTCTGACTGTACTTCTGCCTTATCCCTCATTAGTGACAGTGTTGTGATGGCAACATCAACCTTACGGTATGTGTTTGGTAGGGAGGTGAATCCTTATAAGCATGATATGAACTCCACTGCACAGCCACTGGCATCTATAGCCAGGGTTTGGCTCTGCAAATGAGACACTAAGTACTTTCCTCCAAGCAAAACACTTCCTCCAGAAACAGTGCAAGGTCATATACTGCAGACACACGTAGATGTATGCACTTGTATTTTGTTACAATACTCAAAATAATTCCAAGTCTGAATTTAACTAAGCCATAGTCACTAATGCTCCAAATGCATCATCTGGTCCAGAGCCCACACTGAATTTTTGTATTTCTATTCAYTGGTCATTAATATTTAACAGGATCATTATTTTTATTCAAAGGTATTTGGAGAGGAGAGAAAAAAAAGTCAGGAATATCTGCAATATAAAGTAACCTGTGATCACACCTCATGAGTACAATTCACTGAATTTCCTTTAAGGTAAAAATTCTCAGTTTTTTGAACAGCTAAAAAAAAAAAAAAAAAAACCCACACACTTAAGCCTGTCCCTCAAAGCAGCTGCTGAGCAGACAGATGTTACTACCTGCAAAAAATAATAAAACTGACTAAATGGAGGTAGACCTCAATTTGAATTAGGAGACAAGGGATAAAAGTGCTCAGGGGAAAACAGTCACAAAAGCAAGCTGATTTTGCCTTACCCATTCTGAAGTGTAGCTGCAATGGACATCATTCAGCCTCTTCACATTGACAGGAGATTACCTAGTACATTGCTGGCAGGAACGCACAGCCTCTCCTGATTCATTCTCCATTCCAGGGAAATTGGTTGAAAACACGCTGCAGCAAACCTTTTTCATGTTTATGCAAAATAAGCATGTTTGACAAATGCACCTAGGTTTTAAACATAAATAAGCCAGTTCAGGAGGTATACAGAGTTGGAAGTCTGCTCATGCTACGATACCGCATTTCCAGAACACCATTAGTCTTGACAGTCCAAGCACTGAAGATTTCTCCTTTCATCAGCAGATTGCAAAATAACTTGCAAAATATCGAACTATTATTAAGTGGTATTTCTTGGCCCTAAAGACTTGGGTTGGTAAGGGTTTAGTACAAAGTACTTTCCACATTATGTCACAAAGCCCAAAACTGTGGGCTACGAACATACTCTTGGCATTTCAAATCTTACTGGCTGGCAACTCTCTTTAGTTTGCCAGCAGTAACTAATTTATCTTCCTCACAAGGTAAATCACATTGTGAAAATGGAAAGCGTAAAGGAGAAGTGTTGTTCATCTGTCTGAGGAAGGGCTTCCCAACTGTACAAAGAGTACAAACAGTTGTACACAAACAACTGTAAAAACATCTAAAAAAGACTTACGTGTTAACCAGTAAATACTGGAAGAGTTGTATTTTGAAAAGTAACAACTTTTCAAAAAAAGGCATTACAGCAAAGAGTGATGTAACTCAAACTACCAGTGTATTACTAAGACCAGTCCATCCACTAATGAATCTGTAGACTTGTTCTCTGCTCTCCATTCCTAATCCATCACATTACTAGAAAATAAAAAAAAACGATGATGAATGTGTTTCTGAAAAGCTCTCAAAAGGTGTAAAGAACACTGAAATAAAAATTGGGTGTAACCTGAGAATTTATTTGCCACACTTGGAAGAGTTCCCAGTTTATCACAATACTCCTGCCTGTCTCTCAGCTGAGRAGGTAAGTAGCTTAACCAGCCAATGCTTCTTCTTATCAACTGTTTGTGGGGGCCTAAGAGATATCAAAAGGTAAGAGCAGGAAACGTTACCTGCCAAATGAAGTGGGAAATGTGATTTACTTTCAGCTCCCCTTGCCAAGGCCTATTTGTCAAATATCAGCTCAATTTTTCCAGAAYACTGGTGTGTTTAGCTCCAGTTGGATACACTATTTATTTCTTCCAAAGGCAGGAGCCAAGGAAGTGTTTTCATCACTTCATAGACTTCTTAAGTTCCCTTGGATTTAGACCTGAGCAGAGAGTCGGGTTTGGTTCTTTTTCTGACTACTTCTCAATTTAGCTCACTGACCTGAGAACTTCTAAGCACGCTGTGCTTACTAGTACCTGTAAAATCCAACATCTGTGCAAATACAGTTCTTAAACGCAGGCAATGACCATCCCTAAAAAATTGTATTTATGAACAGAGTCAGTATTCTTTTTGTACGTTAGTGTCACTTAATACCTCAGACACTCATTATGTACTTGACTAGATGTCCTTCATCATAGTACAAAACATCTTAATTCACTGTTCCATTAAGAACTTGGTACCTCAAGAGCCAGGATTCTCTTCTTACTTTATGTTACCTATGTCATCTCCCCTTCCTTCTGACCTAAGGTTCTGCCCTTCAAAAAGTAGTGTGTAGCCTTTACGCACATTCACCACGCACCTAATTTAACTCTTTCTGGAAACCAATCACACAGGTGAGGCCATGAGCCATGGCCTCCATGAGTTATCCAATACCTGTATTCTTTCTTCAAACAAACCAAGAAAAGGGTGTTTTCACAAATATAAACGAATCCTCTCCCTGCTAGAAATATTCAGGTATTCTGGCTTAAGTTTTCAGTTCCCTTAAAAACATTCCTAAAGTATCTTCATGCCAAATCTGTGAATTAAAAATGCCAAATCTGTGAATTAATAAGCCTATTTTTACATATCACTTTCCACCTGTGAATCTCTGCATTTACTTTGCCAAAGAGGAGCAAATATTTAACTAATTTAATAAAACATTGAGACACATACATTCAATCCACAGCAAGTTCAGTCATGGCTCCTACAGCTGACTGTAGGAATCTTATTCACGAATTTAATGTGAGATTACCCTTTTGTACCTAAATAAAATTTTCCACAAGGAAAAGTCACACAAGTGATATATAACGCCATCTATTCCAGGTCTTCTCACAACAAACCACTTCTGAARTTTTAACACAGGAAAATCACTTTGCGTATTACATAAATATTCAGTTGTTATGCAATAAAAACAGGCTACCCAAGACACTAAAACTGTGACAGACAAGTTGGTTTATTACTGTAAATTACTTCTCTCTATAAAAAGACAACAGATTTTTCTCAGAAGTAGAATTGAATTAAGATGATACACAAGAGCTTTGGTTTTTTTTTTTTTTAAGATTAGAAAGTATGCTTTGTAGGAGAAGGGCTGCTTAGATTATCAAAGGGTAAAACATAAATTAGCACAGTCTAAGCACCTCTAGTGGAAACAAATCTGAGGGATTTATGTTAGGAGTCTCCATGAGTCTTGCAGAAAAATGCACAACAGTTTCTAACATCTGGAAAACTAAGCTAGGCACCTTCAAGGTCAGAAAAAGGCTAGGAAAGTACCAAAGTACTGCTGGAATAGATTATTAAGAATGGTAGTGACATAACCATCACTGGAAACTTCCAACTAATGCTACTGGTTATGAAGTCAGATTTATCTTTATGGAATTTCTGCAATTCTCTTCATGAGTAAGTTACAGTAAATTATCTGAATTTCTGTGTATCCAGATCTTGATGCAAGTCTCCAGAGTTTTTCTACCACCCTTTAAGGACCAGAAAAGTTATACTTATATTAATTTATCCTGATTATCGAAAGCTCTTACCAATTGACTTAAATAAGCGTGTCTAGTTCTCATCTGTGCAAGACACTGAAAACAAATACAAAACCGCAACAATTTGAAAGAGGAAAAAAAAATCAGACAAAATATCCATTCTGAAATATTTCAAACAGTTTTATTAAACAATCAGGTTTTACATGTCATCAGACCTAAACCCTGAAGTGCAAAAAAATGTTTCTGAGGTATTAAGACTGGAGGAAAACAGGCACAGTATTGGTTGTTAGGGGTACCAGACTAAACCACAGTGGACATTCTGTGAACAACAGGTCTTTATACAGCATTTTCAGGATCATAGAAAACTATTTTATTCAWCTTTAGTCTTGAAAGCCAAAACACCCTGATCATTAGCCAGTCGCATCACATGAACAAAAACACAGACATGATTAACACAGGGTGATGATAAACGTCAATGAGGTGATTCTAGACCAATACATACAGTACATGAAAATGGGATTCTGCATTAATTATGACCAAAATCCCAACTGCCTAACCTGTCCAGCTTTATGTTGTGTCTACTATAGTTTCCCTAACACCATTTTTTTTTTTAAATCTGTTCCAAGAAGCTGCACCACTACCCTTTGCTCCTATTTGAAGGCACATGGTCACTCACACTCAATTCAGGTAAGTCTGAGTTTTATCAGATCAGCTAGAGTCAACAGTAGGGCAATGCTTGTATGCCTGTTATTCTTCTAGTTGTCCTCTTCCCCTCATCCATGYAGTAGAGATCTGCTTTATAAGTGGTATCTGCAACGCTTCATGTAGATAATGGAAAGCTTTATCTGAGAAGTGTGAGAATCATGCAGAGAAGTGGCCCTTGCAAATAAGGATGTGAGTTTTTCCTCAACAGCTAAGTAGGGCTCCAAAAACAATTCTGAATGATTAAGGTTTTGACATTTTTTTATTATTTGTTCAAGGAGAAGAAAAAAGAGGGACATTTTCTCTTTACTTCCCCTTGGAATAATTCACAGGGTTAGAACTTAACTGGACGCTATAGCAATTTTAACTTTGTGCAGAACTGATTTTATGCTGAACCTTAATTAGATCTCCTTCACATTAATTAGCTCTCCTTCACATTCTAACTCAACAGCTTTAGTGGAAAAGTTTGTCCACCTCAATAAAATCTGCAGCATGTTTCCCTGGCACCACGAGCAATTCACCCTCAACAACCACTTGATTCAGAAGGATACCCAGCCAAATTCTGCCCTGCCTTACCTGATGGGCTATAACCATAATTCAGTGATGATATGAAGACATATTAAAAGAAGAAATTATCAAATGAGTAATAAGAAAACATCACTCATTATCTATGTCTTCCTGTGGTTTTGTCTTAGCCAATATAGAAGAGCAAAATTCCTCCTGAGCCAGTCATTTTTCAAATTTGTGGTGCAAAATGTAAAAAAAATGAAATGGCCCTTATTTTAGTAAGTGTGTGTGAACTTATAAATGCTTCTGAATGTGTCAGGTTTTGTGTAACAATGGTATACTTGGAAATGTTCTCATCTTAAGCATCTTCAGCTTTCAAACCTTACTGAAAAGCTGGAGACACAAGTTTTATTGTCAATACACCCATGGGCAGAATGCAATACAGTCTGATTACAATCAATTGAGATTTTCATAATTTCCTAGAATTGTTACCAATATCACTGCTTCTTATCTATACTGTAATGTCTAGCAAGTCTACAAATAAAGAATATCTGGAATAGAAGATGGATATGTTGTCAGAATGTTGCCTTGATGTTATTTTTTAAATAGATTTATGTTTCGTGGACAAGAAAGGCAACTCCAAAGAAAAAGTGCAAGTAAATCACCGCTTTCAGTTGAAAACTGGGTTTCGAATGCCAGTCAAAACTGAGGTGTTGGGCCACTTTCTGCGCAACAGAGTTAAGGACCAGATGAAAAACAAAATGCTTGTGATTCCTAGGATGACCACGCCTGAAATCAGTGTGCTGGTCACTGAATTCAATTGGAAAGGAGGTCCATTTGGATGAGCTGCAGGAAGAACAAAAATGCACAAATAAGGCCTGGTTAGAATCTTCCAGCAGTGTCAAATATCCCTGTTCAACTATCAAAATGCTGTATACAGAATAATTACAAGTAGGAATAAAAACTGAACTGCAAAGTGAATACCTGTATGCTTAAATAGTACTTTTTTTTTTTCTTCCTGATACCTACTCAATATCATGGGTAGGAATGCACCAGGAAACAGTTCATTCAAGGGAGAATTTCRTTTTCATGACAGGAAGGTGTCAGAGCTGCTTTTATGGGATCTAAATAGTTGACTGAGAAGTGAACAGTGAACCCAAGCTTCAAAGACAGAGTAGGTTGCTTTTGCCATTGGGTCCAGCTTTTGAGTAAGATGTGAGATGGTTCAGTGAACCCCATCCCTACTTACCTAATTTTGACCATCGTTTCCTAGCCATTAGCTACTGAGCTACATTAGACCCTTTCAAATTTGAAAGTCCAGCTAAGCAAGCTGGACTGCACCACAATTACCATTTTGCTGTCCCACTCCTCTGCTGCATGAGCCGATTGTACTGCTTATATCTGTGACTTTTCTTCTGGTACCTGCAATGTTCCCTCACACTCATATGTCACAGTAGTATATTTTCAATTCCATTGTAGGGATTACAAGTCACTGTGTTGGTAGGTACACAAATTAAACTAAGCATTACAGATTCACCAACTGCTTTCTTTATAGCACAAGTATATACTGATATAGTCTTTAAATGACAAAAACAAACAAACAAACAAAAAATTCCAGCTCAGTGCCTACTGAATCTGAATGATTCACCTACCCAGTTCTGCTGCACTCACATAAACCTGCTCTTTTGTGTTTCTTGGAATTCTGATTCACTTACCAAGCTCTGAATTGTTGGTAGGTGTCTCATCTGTAGAAAAACATAAAAACAGGTGCATTATACCTTAAAGACTTGTGCACATTTCCCTCCCCAACACAAAACACAAAAGCCAATGGTCCTAGCTCTATTTTCAGAACATGCCAGTTATATTTGTAACATTGACTAGTAGCTGTTAACATGCCTGGCAGAACCAGGACCACAATATTAACTACCAGAAGTTTCTTCATGTTTAATGTAAGCACACCAATATAAAGCTACCTGGTATTCCGAGGCAACTCTCTTCCCACCCCAAAACACGCACATACAGAGCACAGCACAGGAACCACTTCCTGGAAAAGGTTCCCAATTCTATTCCATCCCTTTTAGTAAAAGTACAATCATAAGTACAATATTACATGCAAGTTTTTTCACTGATAACTATTACAGGAGGAACTGTATGGACAAAGTATTTTAACCCAAGCTTTACAAAGGAAAATATGTTACTGAAAATTAACTACAAAAATGCCCTCTCCATGTACACTTTTCTTCTAACAGTAATATTGTCACACTAAATTCAGGGACATATTTTTATTTTGTCTTCAATTTTTGCTTATTTACCACTGTCCATCTCAAAACTATACTTCTTGTAATTATTTTTAGTTTTATGTTCATGGGTTTTTTTGTGTTCATCTACAAGGCATAGCTCACAAGTACATTTGTTTTGAGCAGCTGCCTTACATTTTTAAGTGAGACATCCATTAAAAGTTATACAATTTCACCTACAGAAGCCGTACCCACTTTGTTTCCATACCTAGAGACTAAAACATTTGCTTCTGGGTATTTCTCCTGTAATGACTTATTTTAGTTTAACAAGCAAGAGGAATGTTTCTCTGGAAAGAACACAGTGTTAGAAACGAGAGCACAGAACTATACAGGAGAATGACTTTGTCATCTGTAGTAACGTTATGTAATTACCCTGATAGGAACTGAGTAAACAGTTTTGTTATCAGAACTGGTAACTRGTTATCAGAACTGGACAGCTTCAAATTCTCATAATCTGCACCCTTTTCTATGCTTTACTACAGCATACACCAATCTCCCTTCTATTAACAAATGTATTTTCACAACGTGAAGGGCACTGGGAAGAAATACTAATTCCCTTTTCTTGCTCCAGAAGGAAAAGGGAAGTACAAGCCATATTAAGGGACTTGCCCAACACTACTCAAGAAATTCACAGCAGATTTCAGAACTGAATCTCAGTTTCTAGAAGCCCAGCCTGTCAGGCCACGCTTCTATCAGCAGGAGTGGCAGGCTCCAAAAACATCCCACTGAGATTCAGAAGTCTGTAAAAACCATTAGCTCCATATCTCAACTAAGACACTTCAAAAATGATTACTTTYTCCTTTAGCCCTACTATTTGTGTTTCACTAGAAATCACAACAGATTTCAATAAATGTCTAAAAAATAGACTATAGTCTACTCTTACTTTTAGTTCACTACATATTCCTGGTCAGATCTTGGCTTACTTGAAATTATGCAGTATTAAAAGGTTATTAAAAGGTCTAAAAATAGAACTCACAGCATTTGAACCATACGTTGCGTTACTTAATAGGTATTGCTTAAATAAGAAGTTTTATCTTGTTTTCATTCCTTGACTAACAAGGAATCTCTAACAAATGCTTGTCTGGGCAAATTTTCCATTCATTTCCCATATGCACCAACAGATGCAACTTTGAAGTTTTTTTACTTTTGTGTTGACTAATCAGATGACAACAACATGGACACTCAACTGGGGCAACATGTAATGCAGAAAAAAATATTAGTTTCAATTGCAAAAATACTGATTATCATTCAGCATATTCTGTTTTTAAAAACAGTCTCTCACTAGATGGGTCAACTGACAGGTCAACTTTGTATAYGTGGGGGCAACCACATTGCATGTAAAAGAGCAAGGATTTTATTCTCAAGGTGCTTCAGTTATTTTTCCTGCACAGGATTCAGTCTTGGTCTATCTCTATTTGAAGCTATTAAAAGCAGTTGCTTAATGGCAACTACTGCAAATGTCCATAAGTAGAATTTAAGAGAAAAAGCAAATTAACTTCAGTATGTCACCAAAGTGGTCACAAATATTTTTCAGGTTCTGCTAGGAATAAAAATGTAAAACCATGGAGTTTCACCTTAAATCTAAAAGAAATCTGATTCTGGCTTGCTCTGTTTAGAAATACAGTGTTTGACCTATTTCTTTCTCCATAGCTGAAACCTAAGCACAGCATGTATTAGCTTTATGCAGCTGAAAAATCTCAAGATGAAGCTGGAAGAGATGGTGAATCGAAAGTGACAGTGAATATTCATTACCTGCCAAATCATTTATTTTTCCGTATCTCCGTTCTGACCTCAAAATTTAAATTGAGACATTGTACATTGTATCTTAAATTTCACATTTTTCAGTGAAATGTGACAGAAAGGAAGTCAACCCACTGACTTTGAACATCTATAATGGCCTTACAAGCACAACTGTATCCCACAGTGATTCTATTGCAAGTAGGGATGAACTGTATGAGAGTTGAACATGAATATGAGGTATGTTGTTCTACCAAAATCTCCAATGATATTAAAAATAAATAAATAAAACAAAACAAAAATACAGTCCTTCTCTCCTCTCCAAATCCCAAAGAGCTTCCTTTCCTCAGCATAGTCATGGAGAATCCTAGAGAATATAGACTTTGAATCACTGTAAATTCTCATTAAACTGCCAGGCACTTTCCCAGGTTTTGGAAATTCCTGCCATACATAAAAAAGTTTTGCTCATTCCTACCGCTCCTTGTAATGATGGGGCCAGCAGAGATTACAGCATTGCCGGAGGTGCTCTGAGGGCTCCCAGTTGTTCTCATGACAGCATCTGCATCTCTTCTTTCTCTGTGACTGCAAATCTGATCAGTTAGTCAAAACAAATCACAGTTACAGAGCAGAACGGAATTATTGCCCTTCTGTGTTTCTAGTTTTAATGTGAGCTCTTTTATAAGGAATACTACAACTTTSGTTTTATTTCTTAGTATGCATTAAATTACTTTGCAATAAAAACAGCTGCAACATTCCCTAGAAGTACATCTTGTAAATGTCTGGTTTCCAGTTGTATTTCGCCTCATTTCATTTACAGAACTGCATGGCTGTCATGTACAAGAGCCATCTTATAGCATATTAAATTTTCAGCASTTAATTTCCCAAAGCTTTGTTTACAGCCAGTTTTCTCAGTAAATGTTTTTTGCTTGACTAGGGATACAAAAGAAGCTATAGCCACTATTCTAACTAATTTCTGAAGTTAAAGTTCACACACTTTCAGGAAGTTCTGAACAGTCAACAAAGAACCCATACCAAAATGATCCTCAAAATTATGATCTGGAATCTAACTTTGACTAAGATTTTGAACTTTTTCATCTATCTTAACCTTGAGCACTGAATTAAGAGTATTTATTGAACTGTAAACCTTCAGAAGATAGGTTCAACAGAAACAGTAAGTTATGTAAAATAATGTATAAAATGTGAAAAACATATTAAGATGATAACATCTTAAAATTCTAAATGGAAAGTCATTCAGTAGAGTAAGTTACCTCCTTCTGAAGACATCAGTACAGAATATTCCATGTTTATTCAAAAGTTTTGTTTTCTGAAACAYGTTTGTTAATCCCAATGTTCATAGAATGGAGCAATATTTGAATTGACACATCCTTGTGAACCATTAAGTTCAACAAGAGAATAACTTCTATACTATGAGGAAGGTTGTAGTTAATCATAGGGAATGTGTGAAGAATTTTTGTCACTATCAGAATTACCTTCAAATTTTCCTTGTCAGAATCACAACACTTAGTACACCTTTAATTTTACCATAATTAGTAATTTCCACTAATCCAAGATTCTTATATTCARCTGCTATGATTTGGGATACCTGTTTTCCAGATGTTAGGCTAAGAATATCAGTTTTTAATCTATTTCAGAGTGGTTACTCCAGACATGAGAAAGGCATCCCAACTTCAGGCTCTGAAAGTTATCTTCCTTTTGATTCAACCAAGCAACCTTTGCATTTGGATGCAGCTTCCCCTCACCCAACTTACTGGCACAAGAAAGGGACAGTCATCTGCTCTGCACAGCTTTGTCACACAGTGAAGGAAGACCGTAGACATCTTCTGGTTCTTGTGCTTCACAAAGCGGAACACCTCAAATGAAAAACGGCCCATTTGGCTCTTGCCATTTTCAATTATAGTTGTCTGTGGGTCCTTGTCACAGCTAAATTTTGTAGAGAAGATTAAAACTAGGATGAGCACTTATATCATTTCTTTTTGAAGTAGCTGAGAGTAAGGTAACATCCACAGCAAACAGACACAATACCCCATATATGGGCAACTATGATCACTTGGTTTAGGCAGTACAATGCTTGCTGAAATACACTGCTACCAAACAGCCCAGTTTTGCTTTGCAACATGACAGCTACAACTAAGGAATCATTTAATTTCAGTGTCCAAAGAAATTTGAGACTAGAAGCAAAAGCAATCAGATATGCTAACAGGTATAGACAGGTATCCCTAACTGAAATGGTATCTCCAGCAATTGACATTGGTGAAATTTAAACTGAGATATTGTCARGATGCTATTTATGTTCTCCAAAAAATCCAATTCAAGGAAATACATTAGTAGTGGAAGTTGCAACAGAAGCATAAATTCATCTTTAATCATTTACTCATATGCTTTCCTGAACTTGGGTTTGTGATGTTTTGCATCACTGTCATTTACTCTGCAAGGGTACCTATCAATCTGCCTTCGGCAAAATTAATCTTAATTTTAACAAAACACCATTTAGTTTGGAGGTTCTAAGGTCTCCAGTAGACCTATATTAGAGGTATTTTCACAATTCTTATGACTGGATACTTGTTTCTGATGTGTACGTTCACAAACGCAGCATGTTCTGACACATTTATCTGTAAGCAAAATCCTCAGGCTTCTCAGTTAATATGGTTCAAGTTTCCAAATAGTTTAGAACRCTGCGAAAGGGATTTGTAAAAGATTTCAAAGTCTGTTTGCACAAGACCCACCTGAAGAAAAGATCGTATCGGAGATCATCACTAGGATTACCAGATGGAGTGGTGTAGCAGTAGTCCATCAAAACATTCCACCTGCACAAGAAGCACGGGAATAAATGATCAGAGAACAGAATGGTAATGGAAGAGATGGAGAGTCAGGGAAGAAAGACTAAAACACAGTAYAGGCAGGTATACAAACTGATAATGCAGTCTGTTATGTTGATACCAGTTGTTATTAAAGAATTACGGATTGTTCAAGATTGGAAAGGACCTCTAGAGATCATCTAGTCCAATTGCCCTGAGCTAGCATGGACACCTAGAGCATGTGGCACATGGTCACATCCAGGTGGGTTTGGAAGATCTCCAAATCACTCTCTATCTTCACCCTACCCCTGCTCAGTAGATATTCAGGGGAATACATGGTAAGATCACTTACAGTTTGACTTAGTGGGCCTTCTACATCTCAAAATACTGCTCAAGACAAATATTAAAAAAAAAAACATTTAAATTTAGTTTTTACTCAATTTTAAAATTAGTTTTTTATTTAATTTCTAATTTAATTTAAATTTAAATATATTTTTAAATTTAATTTTAAGACAAATATTACAATTTAATACTAAAAGAATTCAAATATAATTAAAATAAGAAAAATCAAAAAGAAGTACTTTGGAGAGGGCCTACACACTTTGTCTCCTTTCTGATATAACCTGATGGAATTACATAAACTGATAGAATGAGAGAGTTAAATTGAGAAAAATCACACTGAAAAGTAGTGGGAGGAGAATAAGAGAATAAAGAGGGACGTGAAGACAGCAGGATGGGGCCCTGCTTAGAGGGAAAACTACATTTAGACAGATCCTGAGGAAAGACATCTCRATGGTAGTGATAGAAATGAACTTGCTACRAAGTAGGGACAGCAAGAGCTCTCAAAAACTGCAGGAGATGTCTTAAACAAGGACGAGGTTCTCCTTCCAGTGACATACCTCCCAATAATTCTACCACCTTTCAGTAATATTCAATACAAAAATATTGAAAAAGATCAGGGGGAAAGTAAAGCAAATTAAAGGCATTTATCTGTAACTTTTAAGACTTTCAATAATCTATGATATTCTGATAATTTTATCATTTCTAAWCTGTCTTTCTAACCTCTCTTTACCCTCGGGCCTACTCCAAACGTCTGCCCTCAGCCCTACGCCCCTTCTCTTCGCCCTCCAGCCTACTTGATTTGATCAGAGAGAAATTTRTTATAAGTAACTTTCTGCATTTCCACTACATCCTCCATTTTGTTACCCCTGATTGACCAAACTAATCCACATACAGCACAGCAGCAGAATATTGCAAGTCAAATGATCTCGTTTTATTCAAGACAAACACCATGCAGTTCTTCCTAACAGTCTATTTGTCATCCGCCTCTTCACACAAGTCATGACCATGTAGGACCATTAATCAAGACTCTCCAGCTCTTAAAAGCTCATGAGTTTCTTATTTGGTCATGCAGAATCTCTTGAAAAGCACAGGGATTTGAGGTTTAAAATACGGTTCAGGAAAACATTCATAAARAGCAAGATATGCAAGATATGTATTTGGCTTGAAGAACTTATTTCCTTTCGGAAATATGGGGGGAACTTTGGGGAAATTTGGGAAATATGTTGAAGGGGAACAATTATCAAAGACAAACCACCCTTTTAACCTGCAAAAGGCTGTAAGAAAAGACTGCTGTGTATCTGATTTCTCTTAGATAATAAATCTACAATCCCAAGAACTGAAAAACTTGCAAGGCAAGAAAAAGCCTCCTTTATGGTACCTGCCATCAAGATTGGTTGCTCTCACAGCTGCATATATTTTGGTTTTCAAAGGTAAACCCGCACTTGGGATAAGGAGTTGCTGGCTGTAGGTTGAATCCTGAAAAAGAAACAGTGTCTCAGCGTACCAGAAATCACACTGTGATAATTGAGGGGTACCTGTCCTTACCTTTAAGCCAAATTCCTATCTGATTTTCTTGACCTTTCATAATGGGACTGTCATTGACTTTCTTCTCCTTATAGGAAGGAGCAAARAACAGCGCATTAAGATTTCCCTGCAAGCTTGTCTGTAAAGGTCATCATCACCTGACTGACCTTATCCTACACAACTGTTTTGGAGAAACTCTCTATTTATGATTACATTAAGTGGTTTTATCATGTATTAAGAAAAAAACTCCTCCATGAAGAGGTCATTACAAGATAGCAGCTTGGCATGTCCCCCATTGCCTAAACAGCAGCTGATGCACTTTCTAAAGTAGCAGCTTGACTGGGCTAAGCCCTTTACTAAGACATGTTACAGTCCTTTTCATAAACTGAAGATGGTAACACCTTTGGAGTTTCATAATCTCAGACTGTAGGAGAACAGACATATTTTAATCACTGAAATGCAGCTTTCAAGGAAGGTGGTTTTGGGGCATTTTAAATAACAAGATAGATTCATTTATATTTTAAGACTTAAAATATACATATATACACACACACACACACACACACACACAGTTCCAAGAAAACTGCACAGAGAAGTTTTACACAAATACATACTGTTCTTTTATTATGCTTTGACACATAATGTCCTGTTTTGGTCCTATACAGAATCATTAGTGCCATGCCTAGCAACGACCTACAGATGCCATGAAACATGTCTGGAGTGACAGACATATTTCGCATATCAAAATTCACTTCCAGGTAATAGCACTCTAATAGGTTGCTACTCCAGAAAGTGTAGAGAATCAGCATGTTGGGAAAGGCTTCTCATAAGAAGTCAAAGCACTTAAGGCACAAYAAAAAATTGCATAGCAGTATTTTCCAAGTGCCACAGTAAAAACAGGTTCAGTGTGGCAGGCAAAACCAAGAGCATCATCAGACAGCCCAAAGAAATAATAAGCATGTAGAAGATGTGATTTTTCAAAGCCAAAATTTAGAGCTAGCTGCATATTCAGCCTCCTCAGTATTGGTGGGCTGGGGAGCCACGTTGGTGCACACAGACCAACTCCGTGACATAAGGGAGGTCATCTCTTTATCTCTTCAATCTGCCAGCCTTGCCAAAATTGGTCATAACAGGAAAATATCTACTACATGAGCAGATAGTATGACTGAAATTAGAACAACAAAACACCATTATTAATATTCAATTTGTAATTATATTAGAGTGAAAAATTTATCTTTTAAGCTGGTAAGTGCATTTTCAAGTGCAAATATAAACATTACTTTTAGCCCAGTTTTTGCAAAATTAGGGCCAGAAGTGCACCAAACAGTGGTCAATTCTCATGTCTGCAGAGAAATTTAGCAGCACCTCCCTCCTCCATCTTTTTGCCTACAGGTTTATTTAAGAATGAGAGAAATAAAATCTTAATTTCAGCACATTATAGGTTGTTATTCAGCACTCTGTTCTGTCAAACAAACATGATTTTTTAAAAAACATGTCTTTGGAAAATGTCCTGTTACAATATTTATAGCTCATTATATTCAAAGTATAAAACATTGACTTTTAAATCAGTTGCATGAATTATAAGTCAACATCATGATGGCATGAATAATAATGCAAAAAAAAAATCAGATTCATAATTTACAAAAATGTTCTTTGACAGATTGAAAAATTGATATTTAAATCAGGTTTTAAAAATGTATGAATAAAAATTTTAATCAACACCAAAATATCATTTCAGAGATTAATGTTGCTGTTAAGTAGAGGTCCGTGCATTTTTCATGTTTTACTGTCACCATCCATATTCATATAATAAAAGTTTATACAATAATGCATTTTCAAGTTAAATTATCTAAAAAGGTAAGAAAGAATTGTTGTTTGAAAGCCTTTATTAACATCTTTGACCCCTAAAGCCGTGAAAAATCATGCAATAAGATAGCATGTATTGCATGCTATAGATTTGGAATGAGTCCTACAAGCCCCACTAAAATTACAAATGATCAAAACACTCATGAAGCTTGAGCATAAAAACACTCCAGCAAAAGTGCTACAGTTTACTGCTAAGGGAATAGAAGTCTTGAATTATTATTATTACTATTTACAGAATCCTACAGAGAGTAGTCTCTAGATTAGTAAGATCTCAGATCTATGTACTGATACACATACACAAGAATATGAACACAGGCATTCATAGGTACATACATATATATATTTATATATATATACACACACACACACACACAGAGAATACATGCAAACACTATAAATATGAACTCTGAAGCAAAAATATTATTGCAATTGATTAAAGCTCTGGCTTTTCAGATCCCAGTACAATTTAAATAATCAGAGGAACTGCATAAATTCAAAATGAAGACTCATCCTCAAAGKCCAACCATAAGAACACAAGACAATAGACACAAGCAAACAAAAAGGAAAACAGAACTCAAAAATGAGAGATACCTGTATGAAAGGTCTCATTCTTCAYGGGAGGACTGGGAGGGGAATAGCACATAATGAAGAGAAGGCTAAATTCTGTTTTGCTAATCCAACTTCCATAGAACTGTGTTTTATACTCACATTGTAAAGCAACAAATTCAAAGTGCTGATAAATGTACCATTGTTCTCTCTCACGGAAATAGCAGCTGAAGACCTATAACAGAATTAGAAAACAAGCTACTAAAGATTTAAAAATATTGATATTTTACTTTTGCATTTACATAACTTCAGTGGGTTTCATTGTTAAAAAATTCCACAAGCTATATTACAAGGAGTTAATTCGTGTGTTTGTGTTATAAAACAAAGAAATAAGAATTTATAGTGGAAACACTGTCAGAACCTTCAATATGGGGGAAGTAGTGTATATTGCTGAAAACATAAATCAGGAAAATAATTAGCAGAGAGGCAAAATAACAAGAACAAACTCATGTTCCATGATGTACAGTGACTACTCATGAAAAATATTCTTTTGTGCTCCATATTCAGATGCAATTTCCATCCATTCGCTGCTACCATTCTGTCCCACTGTTCCCTCCCACTGTTACACGATGAAGTATCAGTATGTTGATGATAATGTTGTGACATACACATATTTAGGTGCATATGTATATGCCCATATGGACTTATGTTCATATAGGAATGAAAAATACACTTACGAAGCTAGCTGGGTATTGTTAACCAAGTACTCCAGTGGATAGCTACAGCTAAATTTGTACAGAAGCCCAGGTAAGTAGCTGATAATCGTTGGTGGGTCTGGCGTATCTATGTAGCCTGAAACATTACCTATCTGTACCACTGAGATATTCCCATAGGCATTGACACCTCGAGCTGACGACACCTATTGAGGGAGAGAGAAAATAAACATTAACAGAAGGCTAAGCACTGAACAAGAGCTACATAAAAAAACTCTCATGCTTTTCTTCACAGTTCACACAGGATAAGTCYAGGAAATCCTTTTGATTTGCTAACATAAAATTCCCTGGGTTCTGTTTCTTACCTCCTCAGGGTCAGGAATTCCTAAACATGCTGCCAATGAAATGCTGTCAGAAAAATCAATAGCTGAAAGTCAAGTATTTAGCATATACTCAGATAATGCCTCATCTGAGGTTGTCAACAAAAGCTTACTCCTGTCACCTGTGCTCATTATACCTCAGGACACCTGGGCTCAATTCTGCTGCAGCAGACTCATTTCTCCAATGTGGCAGACCTCTGGATACCTGTGCTATTCCACATCCCTCAGTAATGGGATAGAGATCACCAGAATTTCTGGTGCATCCAGAAAACCCAAGAAGATCCTTTCCTCCAGCTCACACCCGGCCCCTCTCCATCTGCAACTACTGCTCTGAAAAGAGCACGGCAGTGGTGAGGGAAATGGGCAGGTAAACACATCCCAAATTACTTTCTCATTAGAAAGTGAGAAAGTATGGGATGGAGCTTCTTCTGTAGCACTTCTCTTGAATAACTGTATGCTGGCATTTTTAACAGCTTCCCTACATGGTTTACARATTCACAGATTCACAGATTCACAGAATATTTAAGGTTGGAAGGGACCTCTAGAGATCATCTAGTCCAACCTTCCTGCTCAAGCAGGCACACCTAGAGCATGTGGCACAGGGTGGCATCCAGGC